TTGTATCATTTCTTTACTCTTTCGCTTTTCTCGCTTTTCGTGTGCATTTTTAAAACTGTGACCAGTATCTCTGCTTACTTGAACTTTCGATTTTTGGATTAATGATGGACAGGGAGGCAAAAGGACTGGAGAAATCGTTACAGGACATGGTGGTGGTGGTGGACAGACTTTTACAGGTTGTAGTGGCATTGATGCAGAACAGGCCTTTTTACGACACGGTAGCGGTTGTCGACATCTGAATGGCGGACATTTTAATGATGTAGATGCCTTGCAAGAAGGATTTTTGGGGCATAATGGTAATTTTGGGTATTTTTGTTTCAAGCGCTTTAGTGGAGGACAATGATAGGTTGTTGTTGTTGTTGTTGTTGTTGTTGTCGTTGTCGATTGTGATTCATTATGAATTCCTTCTCGATTATAATCCTTATTTCCACCATCTTCCATCTTTTCATCATCATTCTTTTGACATTTTTCTGAGCAACAACATTTTTCGGAGCAATATGTTTCATGAATTATGGTCACAATAATTACAGTAATTATCCAAATTTTGAAATACATTCTGAAATTCTAGCATCATAACAGCCAAGAATAATATTATCAATGAAAAAGTTCTTATAACGCTTAAGTAATTACGATACAGTAAAATAATGCTTTACTCAATTTAAAGCTTGCTTATTGTGTAAAAACGGATATCAAATTGTACACATAAATATAAACTTACTTTTTTCTTTCAAATATAATACTAATATGTTGCATAAAATTTTTTTTTTTTAAATCACATTTGAATATTTGAATCTATATTTCCATCTACAAATTTTATGTTTGTCACTGAAATATCAATCGTGTACCATTCATTTATTACTTATCATCTGACAGGATCAGCTAAATACAATTGGTATTTAAATATTAAATTTCAGAAAAATTCAAATATTGGAAAAAATTTTTTTTTTATCAAAATCGGTTTTTTCTTTTTATTTACTTGTCTTTCGAATATTATTCAATGATACATATTTGCCAATCAGTATTAGTAAAATTGAAAAGATAAAGTAATTAGTTTTTTTGGTGACGTTCTAATCATTGAAGTTCGTATTACATATAAAATATTCATTTCACAATGATTAATCACACCAATCATAAAAGTTATTCATTACTAGATATTAAATACCCATTTTGTAACAATATTAATCAAATTGCAGAAAGTTGAATAATGAACGATTAGAAATAAACAATTTATTTATAGGTATTAATAATTTTCAAATTTGATTTTTTTATAGTATTGCATTCAAAAGTACAACATTAGCTATATGCATAATGAATAGACCAAATTGCTGCCTTGTTTTAATTCGAGAAATACATTGTGATAATTATTTATAATTAACGCGTAAGATATTTGATAAAATGATCGATCAAACTAAAAATATACCAAAAGATACCAAGAATTCAGAATTTACCTATCTTCAAAACTGCCTACTTCACTTCTGCTAATAATATTTGAAAGGTAAATTATATTTGCACTATTTGTAATGATAGCAAAAAATATTTTTGATATCAATCATCCGCATAAACATCATAAACGTATGCATTAAAATTATTTTTTTTTTTTGCGATCAAATTCTATTAAAACTGAAATTTTACAACAGAGATGAGGAGAGAGGAGTGTGAAACATTCTCTGTCATACTGAAATGATCCAAAATTTCAAATGAAATAAAAGTGACATTAATTAGCATAATTTTTGTATAAAAAGATTCAATAGATCAATCAGGTAATGTTATCATAGATTACTTGCTCTTATCAGTGTGATTCGACACTAAAATGAATCATAGTTAGCAATATAATAACAGTTCAAATGAATTAATCAAAGTTGTAATTGATCAGGTAAGGTTGAGGTGATAGATTAGCCACTGTTATTGGTGATTCGCTATTGTTATTGTTAGTGATATTAATGATAAAATTGTAATTGAACACATTAACAGTAAGGTAAAAAAAAAGAATCATAATTATACATCAGGTAACATCTCGAGTAACACTGAAATATATTTATAAAGCAAATTTGATGCTACATAAGATCACTTAAGCAATTTTTCAATTTTTTCCAATTTTTAATTTTCTAATCTGAAAATATTAACTATTTAATTCATATAATATATGATAATGCAAATGGAAATAGTGATAAAAGTATTTGTAAAAAGGCTATGTGAGAGATATTCGATTTTCGTATATCAATTATAATAAATAGTAAGAAATAAGCCCAATGCAATTACTATCAATGAATGAGGTAGAAAGAAGTAAACGATGACAACCGAGAGTCTCGTCCAATAGTATCGTGGTAATATTTACAGTGATCGAATCTTTTTACCTGGAGAAAAAAAATTTAAACTTGTTTTGCTTTTGATGGAAGAGAAACAAAAACGAAAAAAAAAAAGACGAAGAAACCTTTCATTTTGCAAATATCGTAATTGTTCTCGAAAAAGTTAATTGTTCTTTTCCTCTTCCGAAATATAATTGTTATCAAAAAAAAAAAACGAAGATGGAAATTTCTCTTTTTTTTCAACTTTCTTAAAAAAAAAAATTTCATTTTTTTAAAATTCTGTTAATTTAATGCTGGTTTTAAATATTGTAGTATTTTTGAATGACACATAATCTATTTGCTATTATTTGATTTAAATTGTAGATTTTTGCGGCAAAAAAGTTACATTAATGTTATATACAGTAATCGATATATTATCTTTTTTTTTTTTATTTTCTCATTTATATTTTTGTTTGCATTGAATTTTTTGCATGTAGGAAATTTTTGTTTCATGTTTTGAAATGATTGCTAGAATTTAGCAGATAATAGTCATTAAAAAAAGATAGAATTTCATTTTTTTTTTTGTGAAACAGATTTTTTGTTCTATTTTTCATATTAATGTCATTTATATCATTAACGTTTTTTTTTTCGATCTTTGCATTAATTCTTTTCTTTTATTTCCTTTTTAAGACTCTCATTAGAATATCAAAAAATTTCAAATCTCACATAAAACTGTAACCTTAAAAATTTTGTGTCATTATATGCAAGGCCGTTTTATTTTCATCTTCAAATACTAATTAGTTATATTTCTAGTTTTTCAAATTACTAATTTAATTGTTTGGGAAATTCGTTTCATCCTACGTTAAAATTATCATCTTAATTGTAGAAAAAAAAAAAACATTATGAAAAATCGATATGTTGTGATTAGAAAATATGATTGATAATTGTATTTCAAATTATCGAATTTCCTCCATTTCCTAGAATCAAAAGAATTCTGCGTTTGAATGATTATAGCATATGTGTGATTATATGTGCTATGCTGCTAATGCGTGTATTACGTTTGTGACATAGTTACGTGCTACGTTACTTTGAAATGTTTATATTGGCATTGAAATATCTCATTTTTTTACCCATATATTTAATAAGCAGGTCAATTTTTTATAATAGCCGAAACGGTGCTTATTGAATTGCTTTTTTTTTTCTTGTAATAATTTAAAGGATAATTTTAACAGTTATCAGAATTCTACTTTTTCAGAAAGTTATCAGAAATCAGAAAAAAAAATGATTTTTTTTTCCTTTTGAAGCTATTTTTCTGGAATCAACCGTTAACAATAAATGTGATTGATTCAACACGGATGAGTTTTTCAAGTAAGAAAGAACTTTCAAATAAGAAAAAATCATAGGCATTTTTGAAATGTCCAGTTAGCTTATATTTTTTGAAATTCAAATTATTGAATTTGCCTCATACCATTGCTTGTATTTGTATTTAAGTTATTTTTTTAAATTGTAAAATAGAAAAGAAATTAAATGAAAGCAAAAAAAAAAAAAACATTGCACATGCTGTTTTCTTAAAAACATTCTTAACTTTCGTTATTTTCGATTGTTGGATGATAAAAATCATTTAATATATCACTGTGAAATTCATTCATAATTATAAAAATTAAATATATTGTCTTGTTGAGAACTAGGAAAAAAGTAAAAGCAATTTCTGAAGGATAAAAAAATTTGACGAAAAATTTCTAATTTCCTTCAAAATTTCATCCTTTAATTTTTTAAAGTATAAAAATGAATCCTGAAAAAAAAAAATCATTTTCCGTGTCTAATTTGTAATGCCTTATAATTCACAGGTATTTACTGTTAAATCGTTCATTCCATCTTTTCATTCTGCTCTACCGATTCCGTCATCTGTCGTTCAGGTGCTGCAGAAAATAAAAGATTTTAAATTGATCGGAAAAAGCGGAAATGTCATTTCGGTGGCATTATCAGCATTATCTACTTGATTACATTATGGAAATTGACGGAAATAATCGGACGGATTATATGCAAATTTTCCAAAAATCGATCGAGATTAGAAATGAGGAAAAGGAAAGTTTGAAAGGGCTTCGTTTTTTATCTTATCATTTTTCTTCTGAGAATGGATTTTTGCTCCGAGAAATTTAACAATTTGTTTCTTTGGAAATTTTTCTTTTCCTAATATTTTGTAATTTTATTTTCATAATTCCATGCGGCTTTAATAATTCTGCGCTGTTTTTACGATTTCATTATTTTATGCAACCTTTTTCATTATTTTCTCAGGTATTATTTCACTTTTAACATTTTTTAATTGCCTAAGGTTGTATTAAACCTACCTGAATAAAAAAAAATCGATTCCAACAGAAGGAGATTTAATATCACTAAATGTTTCGAGTTAAACTAAGATTTCACCTCAAAAAAAGTTAAGAACATTCAATGCTTGATGAAAATTTTTCAGCTGTTGGTATTTTCCACTAATTAAACCACTTTTTAAATTGCAAGTTTTCAATCATTTCAGGTTTGGAAATAATTGTAACAACTATTTAATCGATCATTTTACATAATTTTTTTTTAAATTTTCTTTTCTTACTTACTCTTGATTTGTTCCATGCACAAATAGTATAAAAAAATCAGCACCAATGAGAAGGGGACAAATTTTTTAAAGGAATGTTAATTATGGAGATCTGTCGTATAAGAAAATTTCAAGCTTACTATGCACATACATTGTTTTTGCAAAATTCGATTGTGTTTGTCGTTGAATAGAATTCAAATTTATTTCTGTTAACATCTTCAAAATTAAATCATTTTTGCTTCAATGTAATCCATTTCAATCTTCATTTTATAATCAACTGAAGAAGCATAAATCGATTGAGGATATATTTACTGCTTGACTAATTAGCTGCTAAATTTGAGCGCATTCAATTCAGCAATGTGTAATATCCAATTTATTTGTATCGCTTCACTATCATTGAGAGAAGTAAACAGCAATTAAGTTTTCGAAAAAATACAATTGAAACTGTAAAAACATGGAAGGAATTGTTTTTTAATGTGAATAATTATTGTTTACTTAAATTTGCTCAAATATATATGAAATACAATGAATACATTATTTTCTATGGTTTAATCAATGAATCGTATGATTAATCGTATGACTAATACGAAGAATACATAAACAATTAATCGCTAACAGTATTTTTTTGCTAAAAATTAATACTATTGATATTTTGGTAATTTCCGGGTAAATTCAGATCAATCAAA